TTGGCTCCTTAGAGCATCAAATTGAAAAAACAGAAGCTAATTAGAAATCCATACATGATCCTAATTATACAGAAATGCCTAATGCAACACATGCAAAAATGCAACTATAGCAGGCTCGGCTATTCTAAACATGGCATATGAAATGCTACAGCTAACATGTATTCAACTTGAAATTAAAAATACAATGCAGTTAGTATGATGCGCCGAGCCCGGTGCATGCAAAACAGATGAAAGAAAGCAAACATGCTATCATACTGTATGCTAATTGAAATATGCCCTAATCTAACCATCATAAGCTGGTAAATAAAAGGGAGAAAGACGCGGGGTTGGAAGACATACATCACACACACGCACACTTATTAGAATATTTCCCTCACGCGGAGGGTCCGCATAAATAATATAGTCCCGAATAAATAATTACAGTCCAAATAATTACAAAACCCTAATTAATTAACAGATTAAATTAGGAAAGCAATAAATTGGCATGTAAGCCACGGACTGCCTTAAATCTGCTCCGGATGATGAATGATGCACGCTCGGGTTGCCTTGTGCGGAGAATCCCTCGCGATGCCCCAGTTTGCCTCTGTTTGCAATTGTTCTTGGAATGCGTGCCAAGCTCCGGAAGGCTGTCGATTTTTGATTTGCTGCAACAAAGAGCAACAAAGGGGCATGGCAAAGTATTTTCACATATATATGCATGACTACTTTTCAGGGAGTGTAGTCCTCGGTCCTCGTGCCACCAATCACGCATATCGATGCATGATGGCCGAGGAGTCGAATTGCACGACTCAATATGAAATGAATGCACATATGAACACAACAAAACCTAAACTCCATCATGGATAATCCGAAGTGTCGGTGACTGGGAATTGAGACACGTTCCGTCACTCGAAGTACGAAACGTCCCTCGTTTCCCGTGCTCGGCCTAACCCCTATCCTAAGCACAATGCAATATGCATGACGTGCATGAGTGCAACTAAGATACAACCTAACATGCACAATGCTATGAAATAGCATACACAATGCACGATGTAACATGGCATACACGATGCTCTAACATACAACCTAGCATACGCAATGCTATGAATTGAAATGGCATACACAATGCATAATGGACTTACACCAACATGAGTGGACCTCAGCCGCACTCACATCAATGGCCATTAGATGAAAATGAGACACTCGAGATGCGTGCACACGTGCACGCAAACTGAGGACCGAACCTAAGGCACAAATGCCACTCTAACAAAGCATGGCAAGGTATGAAACATGATATGCAAACATGCAAATTTCAGTACCAAAATATGATGCAAAACAGCCCCGAAACATGGAAACATGGCACCCGATGCATGAAATGAGACCCGAAACTCGAAACTAGGCGCATGGAATGACTTATAGCTATACAAAGCATGCATTATTTGAATATGAAGCATAAAGACAGAATCATGGAAGTCCCAAAACATGCATATTTCCAGTTTTAAGCAAGGCCAAAAAGTGAACACAAATAGGGCTAAGTTAACATGCAAAATGGCCCCAAAAGAGAGATAAAGAAGCAAGTAGCAGCTGATGGCCCCAAAAAATGAAGAGCCCTTCAACAAAGTTGAAGAGGGGCTCAAAAAAAGGTATTTTACAGATTATGGACGAGCCCAAAACAGTGCACAAGTAAGCTTAAAATACTATGTAAGAAATAGGCCTAAAAGAAGGTTTAAACACAAAGTGTAAAATGGGAGCCTCAAACAGCAAAATACCCTTGATAAAACATGAAGAGGGGGTCAAAATATGACTATTTTAAGTTCGGGTTGGAGCCCAAAAATACAAGCACAAAGGGCTAACAAATCATGCGAAAATAAGGCCAAAAGAAGGATAAAGAGGCAAGTGACAAAAGGAAGCCTCAAAAAGTGAAGAGCCCTTCAATAATATTGAAGAAGGTCTCAAAATAAGCCACTTTACAGTTTATAACCAAGCTCAAAACAGTTTACAAATAGGCCTAAAATACTATGCAATAAAGAGGCATACAAGAGAGGTAAAGAAGAAAGTGTAAAAAGGAAGGCTCAAACAGGGAGAGGCCCTTAAATAAACATGAAAAGGAGCTCAAAATAATGCTATTTTCAGTTAGGGTCGGTACCCAAATATGCAAGCAAGAGGAGCTAATATATTGAGCAAAAATAGGGCCAAAGAGAGGGATAGGAGACTTACCCTTGAAGACCAATGCTTTAACAACTCTTGGACCAAGTTTGGGAGCCTTTGACCTTTGGAAATGGCCTTGAAGCTACTGGAATGGAGTGTGGATTGGTTGGCTTGGAGATGGAGTAGAATGGATGTAGGATTTGAAAGGTTTTGAGGGTTGGAGTGTAGAGAGAGAGAGATACAATGTAGAAGGCTTAAACGAAACTTTTCTAACCCTTAAAACACAACTGGGGGTGCTGGTTATATAGGCAAGAGTGTGGGAAAAAAGGAGGGGAAATGGATTTCAAATTTCCCTCCAAAAGTGCAGCCCCCCCGGATACACAATTTGGGGGGAAACAAAATACAGATTTGTAATGTACCAGAGGAGGGGAGCAAAGCCGGCCTGGTATTTAAGCTGCAGGTGGCCGGCCGGCCCTCCCCATGGCCGGCCGGCCAAGGGTCAAAAGGTTCAAGCAGTATTAGTGGCCGGCCACCCCAGATTGGTGGCCTCCCATGTGTGCACAACACAACCATGTGGTCAAAAACTGGAGAAAGTAAACCAAGAGAGAGAAAAGCCCACTTTTTGAAGGGGATCAAAAGGGTCAAACACAATTAATGGCCGGCCATGTGATATTGGTAGCCTCCCAGGTGTGTACAACACAAATATGTGGTTTAGGGCTGGAAAAAGTGGCCTTAGGGTGGTCAACATTGGCTTTCAAGTGAGAAAAACGGGCGACGGAGGGCGATGGAGGAATAAAACTGGTTGTCAGAACAATTACTAGCCTCCCACCCTTCTATGACCTTTATAACAATGAAACAGAGGTCTCTGCCAAAAATGAACTCAAACTGATGCAAAATGGAGGTTCGGGGGTCAAAACGCGCAGCCCGAGGCCCCGAAAACTGACTGTCAGGCACCGGAAGTGGTGTTCGACCACGAAGTTGGTCTCTCAAGCCACAGTGTCCCTCAAAATGGAGAAAATAAGATGCATGCCAAAAATCAAAGCAAACGGAGGTGGTTAAGCGGTCCCGAACTGAGGCACACGGCCAACAGCTCCGAAAAATCGGAAACCGGACTCCAAACAGGCAAAATGGCCTACGACCACAAAATGTAGCCTACGACCACTGAGAGATGATCTACGAGACCTCTCTCTCCCTTCGGGAAGAGAAAACAGAGAAAACAGAGCCTGGTTCGCAAACCGAGGCAAAGCATGAAAGAGTCCGGAAGTCCGGAGGCAAGGCTCGCAGCCGAGACTCTGAAACCTCTGAACGAGCACGATATGCAACATCACCAAGCGCTCAATCGGTGACGTCTGAGTCTGAAGGTCCGTCAAAAATGGGGTGTTTACACATAGCAACATCGATTTATTCTATCACAACATTGCACAAAACTCCAGAAAAAGTTACGAGGTGTGTCATTGCATTGCTAGTAAGTAGAATTTCCATTCAAATTTGCAGTTATGATACTTACAAATTTGTGTGTTTAGCAAAATTTAATTACTTCAATTTTCATCACAGTATTGGCTATGTGAACATGTGAATATCATTAACTGCGAAGACAGTAACACAACTGAATTCCTAAGATATGCCACGTGGAACCTGCAAAGCTTGACCAAACAGCTGCAAAAGACACCAGCTCACTCTCTTACACCTCAACAGGTTAGATTTCTATCGCCACTAAAATTTCAGTGAAATTCCAAAATTTCTCTGACCACTGGTTTGTTTCCCTCGTGCCTTGCTTGATTTGATCAATTTTCTCTGCGATGCAATATCTTATATAGAATAACTTATGTGCCTTGACTGATTGAGATCAATTTTCTCTGAAATTTCAATTTATGTTGCTTCTTTGATTACCACTGGTTTATTTCTGGCCTTGTAATGAATTCTATCTGGAATCCAAATTTCTCTGACCACAATTATAGTAACATTAACTTATAAGCTTTGATTGATTTTCTCTGATATCTAAATTATGTTGCTTGTTTCATAATTTTCTCTGGCCCATAAAATTATTTCTCCTTGTGTTCACCTGAAAACACAAACGTGAGCTAGCCGGCGGGTGTGTGCCGGAAACCTCTCCAATGCCTAAGTCAGTAAACTTGACAAATAGACAAAGCTTTATGTTTTCAGAAAGCAAAATTGTGAATTGCGTTCTATTACCTCCTCCAAGGTGATGCTTGTGAGCTTTTATAGGTTTCATGTGGCACAATCCTAGTAGGACTTTTATTTCTTCATGCAGAGTCCTCCTAGGATTTATACTCCTAAAGGATAATGTTTATCCTTTTACACCCCCCACTATTTACACCAAGTGGGATGATTTTCACCATGGCCGAACTACCATACGACCGAGATAACCTGACTATGCTGACCCACAGAGTAAGCCGAACTATCCTTAGTTCGGCCCTTCTGCTTATATTTCCTTATCTCGGTTCTCACCTGTTCAACTCATGGTGTGCTTGGACCGAACCAACGACTCTTCAACCGGTATAACTCCAAAACCGGTATACCTCTAAAGCCGGTATAAATTCAAGAACGATGTTCCTTCAAGACCGGTCTAACTTTGAGTTGCTCCCAGACCGAAATAGCTTAACAATTCACGAGCCGAAGTAACTTCATCTCTTTTGGCCGGAGTAACTTTATCTCCCTTGAGCCTGAGTAACTTTTTCGGCCCTTTTTACTCAGTCCGTCATACTTTGGGCCATAAAGTCCGTCTCATAGCTCGGCCCAATTTTCACTAAAAATTACCCTCTCAGATACCAAACCTGTAATGATGCATCAGACGAGTAAAATAGAAGAGAACACTAAAAATGAAGAATGAATTAGCCAAAGCAAACTGTTACCTGCATCCCTCGGTGGCCATAATCTAACCATGAAACCTCTTCAATCAAGTTTGTTTTCTCCTCTGATTGACCACAGGTAACCCAAAACAATTCAACAGAGTCAGTCAGCTCTCTTTCCCTCCCATCATCCAAATCGAGAAGTGAAAGTTCCCCATTGGCCCTCAATATCAAACATCTAAAGAACAGTCAGTCATCAGTAGTTTGTGAATCTGTGGTGCAGATAAAAATTCTATACATCATTTTTAAGGATAAGTGCATACCTCACAGGTTCTTTGCCTAACAAATCAGACGGAGTTGAGATTTGATTTTTGGAGACGTGCTCCCTTGAAAGCTGATCAAGGACAAAACGCATTGCAGTAGGATGGCTCTTTGCAGTCATGATTGAGAGCTCTCGTACTGTAGAAAGCTGTTTGTCATTTTATCACTTAAAAACGCATGAAGAATGATTATTCATTACAAAACTCTCATTCTGAGTGCAACTTAATCCTTAAGAAGTCAATAAGCATCCACAAGAAAATATCAGTTTCTTCCTAAACAAATCATACGAGAGAGAGAGTTAAAACATTACCTGCAAATCCAGAGAACTAGAAGGTGTCAGTTCACCAGATAATTTCACATGGAATATATGGACATCAAACGGGCGATAAGTAACAAGTAGATAATCTTGATAAACATCCATCACCATTGGCTTCGCAAGCAATGGTTTCCTACAAAGTAAAGAGCTCTGGTCGAGGTGATATCGAGGGTAGAAAAGCAACTCGTAACTGCAAAAGATTAAATACTAGTTTTAAATGCTAAATTGTCCTCCCAGAAGGAACAGAACCAAAATAACTAAAACTAAAGAACTAATAACACTATTCAAAGTGCACCTTCAATTACGTTTTCTATTTGATTAGTCAGCACAATTAGAAGATGAATCTAGAGCTTATATAAAAGCTTAAATAGGTTCTCTTTTGTTGAGGCAAGGATGTCAATACCAAGCAACATTCCCAAGATGGAATCTAATTGCTGGGAAGCGCAACATGTGTAAGAATTTTTATGTATTCAAAGCTCAACATGTGTTAGCTTTTTTATGTATTCTGCAAATTTTGAGCAGGCAGATTCTTTAAATACTAAAGATTTTATTAAAAAAAAAAAAAATGGATCATGCACTTACCAAACTTAACTTCCATAAAATTAAAATAAATTTTGGTAGATCTTTACGATAAACATCTGAATCTGACACTTGCATAGTTTTAAATGATAAAGTTCCATCTAAAATCCAATAAGACAGATACATAAATGTACATTTTTTTGATAAATACAGATACATACATGTACATGTTCACACATCAATGACGATTTTACTTTTTATATGAATCCATGAAACATAGTTTTTAGGTCAACTTGATATGGATTATGTTTCTAAAATCCCTCTTCTTTTTAATGGTCAAATAATTTTTAATAGCATTCCTAGATGATAAAGAAATGAAACTTGGATATCACTATAATGTTGTTCATACTGAAGTTGGATGATGGATATATAAAACCCCACGTCTGCTGCTGTTTTTTCGTATTTGAATCTCGCCATTTATTACCAGTTATTGGTCAGATCTGAATAATCCAATACTGAACACAAATCAAACTAATTGACTTGTTAAGCGTTAACTGGCATGCAAATAAATTAATCCTTTTACTCTTTCCATTCTATCAATGCTATTTGCTAGAGACAGAAAAAAAAAAAAATCTTAATCCTAAGTGTCTGATTGAGATATTCTTGTCAATATGTCGTCTCAAACTCTCATCTCGTAACAAAAGATAAGGATACATATATGATACTAAATAATTTTAGAGACACGCGGTTACAGCAATAAAGCAAATTATAAGCAACAAGTATATGACGTAAATGTATATATATACATAGTTTCAACTACCAACAAATAAAACATCTATATATTGCTCACGTGTTAGAAGAATCAATGTAATTGCAGACAACAACAATGTTCCCCAGCCATGACAAGCCTGTGCACTGAATCTTTTGTTCCTGGGTAATATCACCAAATACTCGCCACTTTTTCAATCGTATATCATACAAGATTAAGCCATGAAGACCAGCAACAGCCAAGTACATCCCATCCTTGCTAGCTGCCACATGCATAACTGGCCAATTTTGGGATAAATAAGAAACCTAGTTCAAAGCAAAACTAAGTTAGCAATATTCATATTGCACAAGAATAAGAATGAGAAGAATCAATCATTATGATTACAAAATCCACATAACTGGAAGGTGAAGGTGCAAAATCTTAAGCTCATCAGTGTCTTCAGACTGCACAATGAGCAGTCGATCTTCACCATAGATAACTTGACGGGTATACGTAGTGCCTGAAACTCCTCTGTTCAGGCAACATTTGCCAAAAGAAAATGCAATGATTCTCTCCGAAGAACGTTCCTCAACAGCATAAAGTCTATATCCATATTCATCCCAGTGCATCAGTGAGGTGCCACCCATCATAGGTTCATATTTGCAATCCTGATTTGTCTTAACCACTGGAGAAGATACAGAACTTAAACCAATTTGACGAATGGTAGACATCAAACGACACCCAGAGACGGACCAAACTGTAAGTCCTCTTAGCTTCCACCCAACTGCAAAAGCAGAATTATCAGGTGTCCATGCAATACAACTGACAGCACCAGTATCTTCCATTGAATATCTGCACAAAAAATCACAAGCAAGACACTTGAGTCATTCACCCATCAAAGTATACAAGACTGACTTCTGCATGAACTACAAAATATGCTATACTTCATCAAGGTTGGTCAAAATGTCTAATAAAACTGCAAAAAGTTTAGTACAAAGTAAGCCACGCATAATAGAAGCCACATAGAAATGATTTATCATCAAAATATAAATCATAAGAGCATAACAATGGTTAAAACTACTCTTACAAAGTAAAGACTTTAATGTAAAAGACAGAAATGGAATGTATGTAGAGAAGGAGATTCTAAGGAAGAACCAAAAATGACAGCAAAGCCCCTGGAAGGAGGCATTACAACAGTCTCCAATTAAATAGAGTTAGATGTCTCGGCATGGCCTAAAAATTGCACCTCTTAAGGACCTGGTTAATTCAACCACAACAAGGATAACCAAAAAAAACCAAAGCCAATCTTAAGTCAGCTCAGTAAGGCTCAATACCAGATACTTGGTGTTGAATCTTGTACAACCAATCCACCTATCTAATTTCCAATTGATCATTAATCAACAGTGTTTTTCCTGTTTCCTTAATCCACATGCTTTCTCATCTTCCCCTCAACCTTACAAGTCCCTTGACCTTAATCATATCACTCCTCAAAAACCAGCAAATACCCTTGATTTATCCTGACCAAACTGCTTTCAACTTCACCACTGCTTCTCCCAATGAGAAGAGTCTGGTGACCTCCAAAAAAATACATTTATAGTTCATTTTACTGAACCGTCTTTTATTTTACCCCTCGTTAAGCACTCTGTAATATTTTGAACTTCAGTTTATGAAAAAAGTTTACTTTTTGGTCACTTGGCACTACGAATTCTGGAGGCATGCTATGTTGTGGTTGTCCAACAATTTCTACTCAATTTGATACATAAATGTCAATCACACAACATTTCAAAGGTACTCCTTTTCATTATATACATCCTTTTCATATACTTAATTTTGTATGTTAGAATGCTGTTGGTTTTTATTGGTTGCAGTCCATTTGGAGTATGTTGTTATTTTAAAAATTTTACAGTTTACCCGTGGGTCAAATATTGTTATTTGAGTCTCATATGGAGTCTTTATTAGTTATAGAATATTGTAAATTTGTAACAAGTCAAAGCTTCTTAACTTTTCTTAATTTTGGAATCATGGTCCTAATAGAATTAGCGCCTATTTGAGTTTGAGGGGGGGTTATACCAGTATCATGTATAAGTCGCTCATGGCGCACTCCCTAAGTCGCCCCCTTGGTGCACCACCACAATTTTCTACAACGGTCCGACATGACCCCATAAACTGTCTTCTACATCGGTCCGACATGACCCCGTAAACTGTCTGCTACAACGGTCTGACACGACCATACCGTGTCTCCTATCCTGTTTTATTTGTCAGTTTATTTTTTTCTGTTTTGTTACTCTCTTCAAACTTAAGTTGGTTAGTTCCTATCCTCCTTGAGTTTGAGGGGGGCTGTTAATGTACACTAAACCTAACCCACTAACCTAACCCACTACATCCACCCCACTAAACCTAACACACTTACCATCTCCACTACCACCCACCACCTCCACTACCATCCACTACCACCACTCACTAACCCAAACCCTCTCTTATATAATGCCACTCTGATTTGTAATACAATACATCAAAACAATACAACAAATCTTGTAACAACAATACATCAATTAATAATACATCTATTTCTTACAAACACAAATCAAACTAATTGACTTGTTAAGCGTTAACTGACATGCAAATAAAATAATCCTTTCTCTTTCCATTCTATCAATGCTATTTGCTAGAGAGAGAAAAAAATCTTAATCCTAGCGTCTGATTGAGATATTCTTGTCAATATGTCGTCTCAAACTCTCATCTCGTAAAAAAAGATAAGGATATATATGTTGGAGGTCACCCCATGTGAAAGGGGTGATCCTCATGTCAACAATGGAAGGCAACCAACCAAGTCAAGCTTGGTGGCCACCAACCATGTCAAAAGTCAAGAATGAAGGCTCTCCCACCTACTCCTTTGTGTATAAATAGAGACGGGAGGGAGAGGATGAGATATAGATCAGAAATTAGAGAGTGAGAGCTGTGAGTTGAGTGAGTTTCATCTCCTCCTCTGTATTTTGTATTTTGCTCCATTTTAGTGAAAACTTCTCATTTCTGTCCGTGGATGTAGGCATTGGGCCGAACCACGTAAATATTGTGTTTCCTGTGTGTGTGAGATATATTTCTGGGTGTGTTTGATCCTAACAATATATATGATACTAAATAATTTTAGAGACACTTGGTTATAGCAATAAAGCAAATTATAAGCAACAAGTATATGACGTAAATGTATATATATACATAGTTTCAACTACCAACACTTTTTACAGTTTAAAACATCTATATATTGCTCACGTGTTAGAAGAATCAATGTAATAGCCCATGAAGACCAGCAACATCCCATCCTTGCTAGCTGTCACATGCATAACTGGCCAATTTTGGGATAAATAAGAAACCTAGTTCAAAGCAAAACTAAGTTAGCAATATTCATATTGCACAAGAATAAGAATGAGAAGAATCAATCATTGTGATTACAAAATCCACATAACTGGAAGGTGAAGGTGCAAAAAAAAAATTAAAATTTTGTACAAATTTTATACTTTTTAAATATATCGAGACTAAGTAGATCTAAAAAGTAAAAAAAAAAAAAATAATTAAAATATTTAAAAATTACTAAAAATATAAAAATATGAATTGAAAATTTAAAAAATTACTTTTAAAAACTCCAAACCAAACAGATTAAGGAAATTATACTCACTGAAATTTTAAAGAAAAAACAATTAACCTTAGGGTTAATTGGTGATAAATCTAATATGAGGAGGGTATAAAGAATTAGGTCTAAGTGATATTTTTTATTGATGAGAGGTCCACGCTTTTGTGTAATAGTTTGGTGAGAAATCCTGGAAAATATTTTGTTTCCAACTATTTGACTTTTCGTTGACTATCTGTTGAAATTATTTTTATTTGTTGAAATTTCTTATCTATTAAAATTCCTATCTGTTCAAATTTTTTATTTGTTAAAATTTTTATCTATTCAACTTTTTTATCTGTTGAAATTCTTATATGTTGTAATTTTTTTGTTTGTTCAAATTTTCTATCTGTTCAAACAACCGATCATCACCGAAGAAACCTTTCACTTTCAGATTCAGATCTAGCTAACTGCTCATCAGAGACCTCCATTGAAGACTTGATATTCTCATTTTGAAAAGCTCATATTAATAAACAATGGATCGAAAACCCTAGAAATTTGAAATAAGAAAGATAAAAGAGAAAAAAAATGCAGACACGCACACACACATACACACACACATATATATATATGTTCAATTTCTGATCTACTGAACAACAAATTGAACAGATGCAAACATATTGATTTGCTGATCAACAAATAATCTCTCTCTCTTTCTCTCTCTCTCTCTCTCCATTCTCTCTTGAATCTTTCACAGACATGCTTCAACCTTTCCACAACAATTCAAACTCATCAAATCCTCTTTCGAACAATCCATTTCTCAACTTCTAACCACAAGTCTCTCTCTGTATATATATATATACATATATATGTATGTATGTATGTTTGTATAAAAACGTGAAATTTGGGGCTTTAATAATAATCTTGTAGAGCTCTTGAATCATAATTATGGCGCTGTTTGGGAAGCCAGAAATGAGGCTATTATAGCCTCATTTCAAAAAAAAAGCCCAAAAGCAACACTGTTCACAGGTTTTCAAAAAAAAAAAGGCTGCAGCCCGGACAGTATAGGCTGTGCCTACACTGTCACAGCCCCAAAATGTTACATCAACGGCTAAATTACCATTTTACCCCTTTATATCAATTTTAAAAATTATAATTTTAGGGACAAATTTGTCATTTTAAATTCAAACATCATTTCAACACATTTTTCAATACAACAACTCAAATAAAATCTATCTCATCTTCCCAAACACAAAAACTAAAATAGCCTACTAAAATAGCCAAAAAGCCAAATAGCCTACTAAAATAGCCACTTCCCAAACGAGGCCTATATGGTTCGATGAATGGTTGTATCCTACACACTCTAATGACATGATTTCCCAGTCTGCTCTTTCATATGCTCAACAAAACATAGTGACTGCTTGTTCCTTCCACATAAATCTAGAAGACTTGAGAAGATTCTAGAACATCCTAAAAGAATTCAGAACATTGAAGAAGCTTCAAAAATTTTAGACAAATCTATAAGTGTCGCGACCCAAACTCGCTCCTATCCGTTTAGCATCGCAATCGGCCATTAATCCTAAGATTATCGAAGGCCTCTGAAACAGATTAGCAAAATAAAAGGACTAGCAGAAGCAAATATCCAAATGTAATATCCATAAAGCTATGCAGACGTATATGGGACAAAAATTTTAAACTTTATTTACATGTATGTGACATCATAATTTCATCAATCTTACGTCATCTTTATATACAGATAAAGCCAAAACAGGACCTAACCCTATTTACAGATAGTACAAAAACTTATCCAACAAATTAAGTAAAGACTTAAAACTTGTTCACATGACTTGACCACTAGCAGATGTTGGAACCTCTACGAGAGGCGCATAAGTTGACTGACACAAAAACATATCTAAACTGGACGTCTCAAGCTTAATCACACACCTAATCACCTACATACATAAGTATAAATAATGAGCTAGAGCCCAATAAATAATATCATTGTGAAGAGGTTAAATGAATGAGTTCTATATATAGGAAAAAACATTCTCATCACAAACGAAGCATTCATTAAAGATACATATTTAGTATACATAAGGTTCATCAAACCCTTCAGAGTTAATTACATGTCGTGGTATAACCTAATGGTATTGAACAAAACATTAGCAAAATGACCCCGATAGACCGAGGACTTATGCATAACGATCACAATTGATCAACTTAGGCATAACGATCACAATGGATCGACGTATACATAACAACCACAATGCATCGACT